GCGTCGTGTTTCCACACAATTTCTCGTTTTCCCAATTTCCACTCGTGTTGATATAACTGTATATCAACACGGAAAATGTTTTATATTTGTTAACTGTTGCATCTTCTTATAAAAATATTGGTAATGTGTATCAACGTAAAGCTGACCTGGACCAGGCTAAAGATTATTATCATCGAGCCTTGGAAGTTCAAGAAAAACAACTTGGTCCAAACCACGTTGATGTTGCATCTTCTTTTAACAATATTGATAAGGCGTATCAACGTAAATATCTGGACCAGGCTAAAGATTACAATATTGGTAATAATGTGTATCAACGTAAAAGTGTCCTGGGCCAGGCTAAAGATTATTATCATCGAGCACTGAAAATTCAAGAAAAACAACTTGGTTCAAACCATGTTGACGTTGCATCTTCTTATGACAATATTGGCACAGTGTATAAAACGAAAGGTGACTGGATCAGGCAAAGAATTATTATGAATGAGTGCTGGAAATTAAAGAAAACAACTAGGTCGAAACCACGTTGGTGTTGCATCTTCTTGTAACAATATTATACAGTGTATTGTCACAAAGGTGACCTGGACTACGCTAAGGATTATCAACAACGAGCCTGTAAAATCAAGAAAAAACACCTAGGTCTTAACAATGTTGCTGTTGCGTCTTTTCGTGAGAATATTGGTTGAGTTTATAATGGTAAAGGTGACCTGGACAAGGCTAAAGATTATCATCATCGAGCGCTGGAAATTGGAGAAAAAGACGTGGTCCAAACCATGATAATGTTGCAATTTCTTATAATAACATTGGCACAGCACTGGGCGAAAACTAGCTTGGATATTCCGACATCTATACCACAGAATATGGCCTGAAATATTACTGATATTCCGGGGTCTTTGACTTTTGGAGGTCTTCTCGCCACTTTCAATTTAATGTAGATAAATATAATTATAATATAGTCATCCACCGTATATGAGCTGTTCTGCAATCTGATTGGTTGAATTACTCGCTGTATATCAGCTCATATACGGCGAGTAGCGAAAAACAAGATGGCGGTCCAAAAACTAAATGAGTTTTGCGAAGCAGAAAAAGGAAAATATTCGCTTTGAGAATAATAATATTACAAGGAAAAACTCTCAAAAAAAATTTGACAGGTTAGCAAAATACATTTATTACG